GACGCGGCCTTCGTGAAGGTGGAAGGCAGCGTGGCATCGGGGGACCAGATCAGCCCGGAGGACGAGCTGGGGCTGGGCCAAGCAGGCTTCATGCAGCGCCAGTTCGGGGCTCTGCTGCAGCCCGGCGTGAACAAATTCTCCCTGCGGATGTTCGGCAGCCAGAAGGCGGTGGAGCGGGAGCAAGAGAGGGTCAAATCCGCCGGTTTCTGGATCATCCACCCGTACAGCGACTTCAGGTAGCCCAATGCGGAGTCAATTCGGAGTGAAGCTGCCGGGCGAGGAAACGGGGGCGTCTGGCTCCGGCACTTTGGATGCCTTTGGCAACTTTCTGCCCGGGTTGAGTTTGAACCCATTAAGTCTGTCCTGGGATCCAAGGGAAGGGGGCGGGAACCAGAAATTAGATGCCCCCTTTTCCCCATTAAAAGCTGGTCAGAAGCGTACCCCCTTTCCATTAAAGTTATTAGCTGGAGAAGGGGTGGCTTGATTCTTGAGTTCTGGCCGCTGGTGGCTCCATCAGGTGGATTTATTCCACCCATAACTGGGGGGAGCTGAGTGAGGGTGTTTGTATTTGTATTTCTATTTATTAGTTTGGCAAACATGTACAAGATAGCAGGTAGACTTATAAAGATGGATATGATACGAATCAATGAGGGACAGTAGGACAGGGACGGTGGGCAAACTGGGTTCCACCACAAAACCGCAGATGACAAAATCGCGGTCGACGAAAGCGCGTATGTGACGTCATCACAGCNCTTTTGATACGCTCCTTTTTGATGACGCTGTAGCTAACTTTTTCTAATAAAAGAGCCCTTCGATGACCATTCGAGGCTTTTGCTCATCCCGAGGAATTTCGTCTGGTGTTTTCCTTTTGATTAGGCAAGGACACATGAGCAGCCCACCAGTGTGGCGACAACGCCGCAGTGGGCAATCTGAGAAAGCTGAGATGAGACAGACTCCTTCATTCCCCACACAACTCACACTCTCGCTCTGACTAATGGAGCCGTGCCCGCAGGCAGCCCATTGCCACCACCCTTTAAATGACAATTGTAAAGCCAGCTGCAAGTTTTTCTGGGAACGTGGGAGAAAAGGTAATACAGGCAGTCCTTGACTTACAACAGTTTGCTTAGTGATTGTTCGAAGTTACAACGGCACTGAAAAAAATCAACATGACCATTTTAGGACTGTTGAAGCATCCGGAAGGTCATGTGATGATGTACATTGGTACGCTGGGCAACTGACTCATCTTTATGACGGTCGCAGTGTCCCGGGGTCACGTGATTCCCCTTTTGCAACCTTCTGGCAAGCAACGTCAATGGGGAAGCCGGATTCACTTAACCAACTTGACAGCTGCAGTGATTCACTTAAGAACTGTGGCAAGGAAGGTCATAAAACCGGGCAAAAGTCACTTAACAAATGTCCGACTTAATAATGATAAAGTTTGGACTCCGTTGTGGTCGTAAGTCGAGGACTACCTGTAAGAAGGCTGCAAGCAGATGAGGAAGTGGCATCCAAGCAACCTCTGAGCATGGAACAGGAAAGCGGGAAGGCGGCCGGGAACCCCACGCTCTGCTGAGCAGCCCCTTGGGGGTGTCACTCCTGCCTGGAGGAGCATGGTGCTTCCCCCGTCCCGGCTGCTGATGGTTTAGATCAGGGGTCCCCAAACTATGCTGGCTGGAGAATTCTGGCAGCTGAAGTCCACAAATCTTAAAGTTGCCAAGTTTGAAGGCTTCAGGGATAGGGTCTCCTGTTTGAGCAGAGGGTTGGACTAGAAGACCTCCAAGGTCCCTTCCAGCTCTATTACTCTAGGTTATAACAGCATAACAACGTTATCTTTCTCAGTCTCTGCGACTTTAAGGGAGGACTTCAACTCCCAGAATTCCCTAGCCAGAATGCTGGGAGTTGTAGTCCACACCTAAATTATGCTGGCTGGGGAATTCTGGGAGTTGAAGAGCTGAGGTGGCGCAGTGGTTAGGGTGCAGTACTGCAGGCCACTTCAGCCGACTGTTATCTGCAGTTCGGCTGTTCAAATCTCACCGGCTCAGGGTTGACTCAGCCTTCCATCCTTCCGAGGTGGGTAAAATGAGGACCC